GTGCTGGGCAGGCCCATCAGGTTGGGTTTGGGAGAAGTTAAAGCTGCAAGAGGGAGGAGAGAGAGGTGAGCAGTCACTCGGCGCCGGGCGAGCAGAAGGCAGGAGGCTAAAACCGCCCCCACACCGCCGCCACCTTGGCGAGGGCAGTCACTGGCCTGAGCTCATGCACCGCCGCGGCACAGGTCGGAGAGCCCATCCAGCGCTGCCGCTTCCTCAAGGATGACTGTTCCTCTCCCCACTCCACGAGGCCCGGTGCCACGGGGACGTGCCTCGCCAGCCCCCATCACCCGCAGCCCGCTCGGCCACACTGCCTGGCAGCACCGAACATGGTGTCTCTGCTGAGGACACTCACCAGCTGCCCAGGATGCTCAACATAGTTTTTGTTTTACTGACCCCCCTGAAATTCCCAAATGCTCAACAGCTGACGTCAGGGACAGGCACTTATGCTACACTGGCACTAACTGGTCCTTTGGCCGAAGGACCCCAGCAGAAGGAAAGTGCTACACCAAACAGCCGTAATGCTGGACACCATCACTCTCGTTAAAATCTGCGACGGTAACTGCTCAAAGGCGCTCTGGGCATGAACAGTTGCAGAACCAGGGAACAGCCATGGAGGCATAGAAACATTTATTTTAGGTTGTCCCTCTCCTGTGACATGTCCAGTGGGAGAGAAGAGGAGAAACCGCCCCTTTGGGGGATGATTTGGGGCATGGTGGCAGTTTAAAGTCTTTTCCAAGGGGAAGCATGCCAGCAGGGAAGCCTCTGCGCTCGGGGCAGGCGGTGATTCCTGGCAGAGACCTCCAGCTGTCATGGGGCTCCTTGGCCTTGTGAAGGCAGAGTCAAAGGGACTGAAACGCAGGTAGGGGCTGGGGCCAACAGCTCTGTCGGAGCTGCCGCTGCCCTGTTTATCCTGGTGAGGTCTTAAATCATCATAATTGATCCTGAGGAACAAGCGTAGATATCCTCAACCATCTCATCCCTGCTGCTGGCAGGGGACACTGCAGTCCTGGGCCAGAGCAGACGGCAGGACCCGGGGCAGAGGCTGACGGAGGGAGCACAAGATGGAAAGTCTGTGCAAAGACACATGTGCTCCTCAGGCCTGTGGACACCAAGCCCCAGGCTGCTGCCTGCACAGTTGCATTGAAAGAGCCTGTCACTTAACCATGCCCTGTACGGTTGGTGTAGCCCAGAAGGAATCCATACTCCTCAATACGCAGCACAGGGACCGCTGTCTTGCAGCATCACGCTCTGAGTAGTAGCTGGCAGCTAAGAGCAAAGTGCCCTCCAAACCTGGCCACGCTACACCCTGGTACAAACAGCTCATTTGTCTGCAGCGCTGCGTTCACCCACTGATGCTGCAAACCTGCGCCCGGTGTGGGCTGCCCGAGCAAAGGGCACGAGACAAAGGTGCCACTGCTCTGCAGAGGAGCCCGCTCCAGGCTCCAGCCTGGCAAAGGAGCCCAGCGGGAGCGCGGGGAGGAGGGCGCCCAGGAGCCTGGAGAATTCAGCGATGGCTGACGCAAAGCCCTTCTGAAACCTGCATCTGCTCCTGATGCGGTATCGAGACAATAGTGATTTGTGAAGGTATGATGTGTTCGAAGCGAGCCTCCACACAGCAGCCTTACAGATTCCAGATAAGGGCATATTATGGATACATGCCATTGAAACTGATGTTCCCCGGCTCAACAGCCCCTGAGAGGTTCAAGCGCAGGAGCAGCGGCTAATTCATAGCATTCCTGGATGCACAGCCTTATCTGCTTCGACAGGCTTTGAGCTGAGATGGCCTGACCTTTGGAGCTTTATCTAAAGGCCACAAATAGTCTGTTTGACTTTCTAAATAGCTTGGTCCTGTCTAGGCAGTCACTGATTGCTTTTAACATTCATAGTACGTAGCCCCATCTCCCCAGGACACATACTGGTCTTTGGAGAAAAATAAAGGCAACAATACAGATCGAAGTGCAAAAAAGTAATTTTAGATCTTGTTATAAATTTGGGGTACTAAGTAAACAGCACAGAGCTATATGCGATGGGCTCGCGATATAACCGGCCAAAGAGATCCTCTTGGCCAAGTTCTGGCCTCTGAAACGAGACCTTCCGTAGGAACAGAAGTATCACATGAAAAAGTCCTGGCATGCAAAGGTGCCCTTCAAGCATGTAGCCAGGACTAGATTGAAGGAGCGGGAACGGGCAGCAGCTCTGAATAGAGGAATCTCTAACAGTAACTGTTTTTAAAAATGGCTTAATTACAATGACCTACCCTACAACTATAGTCAAGAATGATTTTACTTTTGCCTTGGGGGTCATGGGAAGAGTTCTGTAACTATGCAAAAAAGCCTGGCAGAGGCTCTGACTCCCAGCAGAAAGCTTTTCCAGAGTCCAGAAAACTTACTCTGATCTTTTCTGCTCTCTGATAGGACCTTCTGACACAGACATCAGCAACGATGCTGCTCTTGTGGAAAAAAGGATCTTGACTCCAAGAGAGTGGATCATCTTTGGAAAGGCCAGGACCCAATAAACACAGTGAAATTTAACTCTTTTTCACTGTCAACAGAAGACATTTCAGAGATGAGCAGTAATGGAGAAAAAGGTGAACACAGCCACTTCCAAGGGGAGAGAGACACACCTGTTTTGAGCCATGCATCTCAAGTGCTCTCTTAAGGGTGTTACACCCAACGTCACTGCGACCACACACAAACCTCAGGCACCAGTGGTGTGATTTACAGCGAGCAGCTCTGCAGCCAGTCCCCCCTGCGAATGTCAGACAAGCTGTTCAGCTTCCACGTAGCTGCTCACATCAGCTACTTCCCTTTTGTCTAAGGCCTTGATCTGCTTATCCAAAGATTTACCTCCTGGATGACAAACGAAGACGGTAATTTTATTACCATGACACAACCATGTTACCTGGCAGCATCTGCACTGAGTTTTTCAGGCTGTTGAAAAAGGACCTTCAGAGCCAGCTTGCTGACCAGAAGCATCAGCAAGTCTTTCTGGAGACTGGTAACACTCTGGTTTCTGATTAAGAAGCCAAGAAGATGTTCAGATCCTAGTTAGGCTTCACACCATGGATGACAACTCCTCATTAGCCAATTAGTCCAGTAGAATAAGAGACAGTTACCGTTTCTGGACACTGTCTAAGAGCAGCAGACCTGTATTGCTGCAGTGTAGAAAACAAAGGTGCACAGTGGGCATGGTGTAACTGTACCAGGCGTTACGGTGTCACGGGCTTTCCAGCCTGAGATAGACTCAGCCTGCTGCCGAGACAAGATGCTGGAATCAGATCTCAGGATACCTCTGTGAATGTGGCAGCAGCCCTGGTGAAAGTCAACTTGAACAGGGAACATCAGAAGTACACAGAGAAGTCTGCCGAGTGAAAGCGAGTCTCCCAGAGAACATCGGTTACTCTGTCACGAGTGGCAATTCAGACACAGGCACGTCTCTGGGATGCCACGGATGGAGCAAGGGTGAAATAAGGCCCTTGGATCAAGTTTTCTAGGTCACTGCCAGTGTTTGCTACACGTTATGCTTTCCACCTGCCCATCAGGTACAAGGGAAAGGAGCACCCTCAAAAAACAAAGCCCAATATCTGGGATTAGGCCACCCAAAGGACTAGCTGGATTTCATTTTTATGTAGTATTGTTAAGAAAAATCTTAACATACAAAGTAGTTTTGACCCATGACTACACTGTTGTTTGTTGAGAAGGTACTTTCAGGTCATGCCCAGCTGCTGCTCAAAAAGCAGTCCAGAGCTGCATCGGGATTTGTCCCAGAGGTCACTATAAGGACGTTACATAAAGATGTTGAAGGTTTCTGTCACCAGTGCTACCAGGCACATCACACTTTTCCCTAGAAACTGTTCAGAATTATTGAAAACCTGGGATGGCATTACACACACTGAACTTAACAACAAAAGGAGAGGTATCATGAACAATGCATTCAGCACAGTCCTTTTCATGTTCTGTTTGATAAATCCTCTATTTTCCGCTTCCTTGAAGGTGCTTCAGAATTTTTAGCCTGTGCTAAAGAAACAGCGATATGCCGTGCGTCTGGATCTTGCTCCATTTCAGACTTTGCCAGAAAAACGGAGCTCAGGAATTAAAGATAAAATACCTATTGCCTATTCGCTGTCACGTGAACATGCTTGACTAAAGGGCCAGGTATCCTATCATCAGCCGTTCTCAAGGGAACGTTCTCAAGCTTGTGCTAAAGGTCTGTCAAGTGAAGCTGTGTCTCTGAGCAGCGCGATAACATCCGTACCCACCTGTGTTGGATGGAGTGAAGCCTGGTAAGGACGGGCTGTTGAGGCCTGGGAGCAATACCGGAGGGATGCCCTGTAGCGCTGGGTACGCAGCAGGAAGGTTAAGGGCTTGCAGAGGGGCGTTATCAAACATGCTCTGCTGTTGAGCTGCCAGACCAAGAACCTCATTGGCTTTTTTGATCCGGTCCAGCTCCTGCTGAGCCATCAACTGACGTACAGTAGCTGGGTCAAAATACTCCTTTTCCTTATCCAACTGGCTTCCAATGGTTTCTTTAACTTTGGAGATATGCTGTTGAGAGAAGATATGGTCACGTACAGACAGCCGAGCGCTGTACTTGATGCCACACAAAGTGCACTCTGTTTTGGGTCCCTCGTAACTTGTTTGGTTTATACCAAAATGCTTGGCCATGCTGAGTTTGGACTTCTTCTCCTTTGCCCTAGCATTCTGGAACCAGACCTGAACAACTCTCTTTGGCAGTCCAATGTCATTGCCCAGGACCTCACACTCCAGCATGGTAGGTGTCCTGTAGTCATTAAAGCATGACTTAAGAACTTTTAGCTGGAGATTAGTCATCTGAGTGCGAAAGCGTTTCTGTCCGGGCCGATCGCCGCTCTCTCCAGACTTGCTAGCTGAACCACTTGCACCAGGACTGGGCGAGCAGGGGTCTGCGAGGCTGGACGTTTCACTGTAGTCCACAGTACCTTCGTTATCGTACTCTTTGCTGTAAAAGCTGGGAGCTGGGCTGACCAGGCCAGAAGACAGCCGATCTTCGTATTCAGACATTGCTATCATGGCAGCTTTTGTCAGACCTTCACTGGGTCCCGATGCCGATTTGGTTTCAGTTGCAATCCCTGTTGCACTGTCGTTGTCTGCGTTCCCTTCATCTCCTGTTGTAGTGTCTGTGATCGCAGTGTTGACAGAAGAGCAGTCATCGTTGTCGAGCTTTGTTTGGTCAAAGCTCAGATTGACCGAGGACATGGAGGGACTCTCGAAGTCTTCTATCCCTTCCACCTTAATGGAGGATGGACTCAGCAGAGTCCGAGGTGACAGTTCCATGCTCTTGTTCACTGGGGAGAGAGGAACACTCTGTCCATCACTGCTAGTCGGTGGCATGTGGGAAAAGCTTGCTCCATCAAAGATGTCTCCCTTCATTTGGAGTCCCCCATCACAATCCAAGAGCATTGCAGACAACGTCAAATTGTATCCGGCTCTCTTGGCCTCATGCCAGTGACGGGATCGGATATGAGCTTCAAGAGCTGTCTTTGCTTTGAAGAGAGCTCGGCAGAAGGGACAGCGTCTGTGGGCTTGGGCAGGCCCTACAGCTCTGAACTGCCCCTTCCTTTCCCGTGCACGGGTGTTCTGAAACCAAACTTGCACCACGCGTTTCTTCAAGCCCACTTCATGTGCAATGTGATCCAACATCTTCCGTGTCGGGTTGGAGTCGAGCAAGTATTTCTGATAAAGAATTTCCAGCTGCTCTGGGGTAATGGTTGTCCTTAGGCGTTTATCCCTTTGTGGTTCTTCTCCTCCGGTCCCACTGTCGTTTTCTCCAGGGCTTGCACTGGCCTTTTCCTCCAACTTTCTCTTCAGTGTGTTCATTGTGGATGTTGGAGTTGACGGTGAAGTGGCTGAGCTTGTTGGAATCTGTGGTAGTGTTCCAGATAGCAGCTGGCTCGCAAGTAGTGGATTACTGGGATCAAAAAGCATGAACGGCATATCCAGTGTTCTGTCCAGGAATGGGGGGTGGATAAACTGGTTCTGTGCACTCAGAAAATGAAGCTGCTGATGCTCCTGCCAATGCTCAAAGGAAGGAAACGCCAGCTTACACTGGTCACACTGGTATGGGATTAGCTGAGGAGGTAGGTTTGCCAGCTGTTGAGGGGTGGATGTGTGAATGGGTTTGAGGGAGAGATGCGAGAGCTGAGATGGACTTGGGCTGGACTGTGACAAGGAGCACTGAGGGGGCTGAGGTGGGGGAGGTGGCTGTTGCAATGAAGAGGGGGAGGATAACTGTGAAATCTTTTGGTGTGCTGAACTTGTCTTTTGTTCTCCTTGGTCCTGTTGCTGCTGAGACTCTTGCTTTGGTTGCACTTGCTTCTCTTGAGTTTGGTTTTGCTGTGTACTTGGAGGTTCAGACTGCTTTGGTTTCTCATCTGTAGCTTCTACTTTAGAACTATAGGTGGAGGAATCATCTGCCTCTGCTGTGAGCTGCAGAAACGCTGAGGAGGTTGCATTGGCTGATGACGTAGGTGTGCTGTAAGCTTGTGAGGGCATTGGTGTGCTGCAGGAGGAACTGGTTGGAGTCAAGAGCTCCATTGCATCCATAGAGTCTTCATTCTGGCTATCATCCTGTCCATCCTCATCCTCATCTTTGTAACAAAGCTTTTTCTGGTGTTTAATGAGATCAAAAATGCGCTGAAAGACTAGACTGCACTTTTTGCACTGGTAGTTCAAGTTGCTTGTTCTAATGTATCTGTCGTTTGTAAGCTCCCGTCGCTCCCCGTCTTTGCCTTCTCCCTGATTCTCATAGTTTTTCCTAGCTTTTTGACGGGCATTCTGGAACCACACCACTATAACACGTGTTGGGAGGTTCAGCAAGTTAGAAAGCTGCTCAAATTCATCATCCTTTGGATAAGCATTGGCATCAAAGAAGTCCTGCAGGACTCTGAGTTGGTAGTCAGTAAAGCGTGTCCGGGAGGACCGTTTGCTTCCCCAGTACTCCTGCTTTTGAGGTTCTGGAGAAGGAGGCCGTGAGTCTATCTTCAGTTCTTCCAGGCTAGTAATGGGAGGATTACTGAAGTTGTACGGGGAATCCTTGTTGCGCTGGCGTTCTTTGAAAAGAGTGTTTCTGAACCAGTGCTTGATCACTTTCTGGGGCAATCCAGATTTGTCCGCCATCTCTTTGATCTGTTCCTCACTTGGGGAGTTGTTAATATCAAAATATTGCCGAAGGACTCTGAGTTGGTCATCGGTGATCCGTGTCCGTGGCCTCTTGTTCTGCTGCTGCTGGAGAAGGCTAGGGTTGAGCTGATGCTGGTACAGCTGGGCCAAGTCGGCAGGCAGAGGGTCTACGGGACCGAGCTGGGGCGGCAGCTGAGCAGGTAACGTCTGTAGTGGCATGGTTTGCATCATAAGTGGTGAGAAGATGGGGAGCTCCATTGGCATGGAGAGCTGGGTGAGCGGCACAGACGGCTGGGCTGGTGCGATTGTAGGAGAGGTAATCGGTGGGGCAGAAGTAGGAATGGTGGGAGTAGAAGCCGGCTGAGGAGGTGCTGGAGGGAGCGGAGGTGGGGGCGGCGGAGGTGGTGGCGGTGGCTCCGGGGTCTGAGGCCGTAGCGGGTACAGTTTGTCATAGTGTTCTCTGTATTGTTTGGCAAATCTCTCTAACTGCTTAAAGGGAAAGTAATGTTGGTGAACATGCTCTTGGTGGCTCTTCAGGATGAGGATGTTTGAAAAGAACTTGCCGCATGTATCGCACTCGAGCTTTTCCAAGTTCTCACCTTGCTCTGTCTTCCCGTTTTTCTTCTGCACCTTCTGCTTGTTCTCGTTATACTGAATGACAAGCTCAAAGCCAAAGTTTTCCAGCAAGGCTTTTGTGGCGTTCCCTCTTGCATCGGAGGCAATACGCGGTGGCAGTAAGGAGGGCTCCGAACTACTGCCTGGTGCAAAGTCCTTCTTCTCTTTGGGCTTTAAGTTATCAGGCAGAGACTCCTTCGACGCTACACTATTTTCTCCCCTCTCTGCACCTTCCCTTTCCCGTGGGGTTTCTTTTTCCTTCTCCTTCACTACGGATTTATTCTTCTTCTCAGCATGCTGGCTCTGCTGTATAAGGACGGAGTGAGGTTGTGACAAGGACAGCTGACCTTGCTGCTGCTGTAGGAGCTGTGGATGGTTCTGTTGAGGGAGCTGAACTTGAGCCTTCAGGTCCTCCAGCAAGTTTGGACCTGTCCCAGTCAGTGTCAGTGCACCACTGGTGACAGGCAAGCTAACTTCTGGATTGAGCTGGAACTCAGCACTAGGGATGTAGAAAGGGAACAAAAGATGCTGCTGTTGCTGGAGCTGCAGAAGGGTCTCAGTGGTCATCGGAAAGTGCGGCAAAAGTGCTGGGTTGAACAGCTGAGACTGCAGGAGAGCAGCTTGCTGCTGCAGTTCTTGTTGCAGGTGAGCCTGGACTTGGGCCTGGGCCTGTGCCAAGGTTTGCGCTTGCTGCTGCTGCTGCTGCTGCTGCTGCTGCTGCTGTGAAAGCCTGATCCTGCAAGCTGCTGAAATCCCCGCTTCTTTCGGTTCACCTCTTTGGGCTCGGAGGGGGAGGAGATATTGGTGCTTCCAGGGTTACCTAAAGGAGGAATTCCCACGTTGTCACTGGGTACCTGGTTGAGCAGGCTGGGAATGGGAGCTGTGCCTGAATTACTCGTGTTGGTGGTTGTAAAAGTGTTACTGTTGGTAGCGCTCACTGGACTTGGTGTGGAGGAGCCCAAAGAGAGACTGCTGCTGCTGCTGTTGCCAGCTCCGTTACTGCTGCCGCTGCCCCCGGCCGCCTCCAGCTTGGCAGCGCGAGCCTTGGTTTGGTGCAGGACAGACCTCATGTGGATCTCGAGGGTTGAGCTCTGACTGTAGGCCACGTTGCAGGTGTTACACTTAAAAGGTTTGTTGTCTGGGCTGCTGGTCGGTTCGGGCTGCCCAGTAGCAGACTCTTGGAGGGCTCGTTTCAGTTTGTGCAGATGAGAAACTGAATTGTAATGGACCAGGAGAATGTTCTTTTGCGTGAAAGACTCCTTGCAGACCGTGCACTTGTAGGGGCGCGACGGATCGAGGAATTTCTCCATAGTGAAGTTAGGGCCCTTCCGGAAGGGCAAGGCCCTTTTCGGTTCTGAGCCAGAGTCCTCTTGCACCGACCCCGAATCGCTACCTGTCGGGCTCTGCTTATCTTCCAAGTCGCTCTCCTCCTCCTTATCTTCCTCGACTATTATGGTGTGGTCTTCTGCAAGCGAAGGATCACCCATAGCGAGGAGGTCCCCGTTGACCAAAAGACCACCGTACAGCTGCTGAATGTCGGCCTCGCTCAGCTCCAGATGACTGGTTTCCAGATGCTTCTTCAGGGCCTGGAAGGTTCGGAAGCTGCGCTGGCAGAGGCAGCACATGGTGGCCGCCCGGATGACGTGGTACTGGGAATGGAGCTGCAGCTTCTCGATGGTTTTGAACGCCAGGCTGCACTGGTTGCAGCGGTACTTGTAGACGTGGCGATCGGACACCGGCAGTTGAGGCCGCTTTGCGTGAACTTCATTGAAGTGTGTCTGCAGGGCTGCCGAGCTCTTGAACACCTGGTTGCAGCCCTTCTTCCAGCACAGGAAGCCAGAGTCCTCCCTGGCAGAGCTCGGATCGGCTGGAACTGGCTTGGGATCTCCGCTGTGCTCTGTGCTTTCCGATGGCAAAACCTGAAAACCACACCAGCACACAAGGGCTGATCAACACGCTCATTTTGTCCCTAATACGGCTGGTTTTTTCTTTGCAAGACGATAGGTATTTCTAACCTTTCTCCTCTATCTTAATTCATTTATTTTAATACCAGCCCATTACCCTCATCATGGCCCATTGCATAAACCTACACAATTTACTTTCTTGCCCACTTTGAATATCTTGAAATTATTCACACACACACACACACGTTCCCTTAGCGCATTTATCACCTTTAATTCTTCCTTTTAAGTGAAGGCCATTCAGCCAGCTGTCTGTCTTTGCTGCTTTTCTTTGATGTCCTGCCTATTTTCCAATAAGAAGATTCATCAAACTGAACGTAGTATTTGAGTCGTGGTCCTATCAAAGCTAGAAACAACAGGAGTGAAATTCAGGTCCTGCTGGCAGCAGCTCAAAGGGTGCTGTTTGAGGGAGGACGGGAGAAGGAACAAGCATTCTGTGTGCTGCCACTTTTCCAGGGTCTAAGAGCACAGTCCTGCTGGAAAAGATGAGGATAAGGACCGCAGCAGCTCAAAGCTCCCCAAACTGTATGCCCAGCGTCCGTACTTGGGCTATGATGGCAGCAGAGCAAGTGCAGCTGAGGTGGTAGCACAGTCCGTGGCCGGTGGCTGTAACCTTTGGTGTTTCTCAGCCCTCTACCACCTCTGCTCTTCACCGCTCACACCTGGCTGTCTGCTTTGCAAGGATTCAACACCATTTCCATGTGAATCGCCACGGCGGTGAGCTGCGCTCCTCAGCTCTGAGTCACCCTGCTCTGCCCTACCCTGGGCATCTGGGCACCAGCCTGTTTGTGCCTCAGAGGGAGGGAGACGGCCCGGCTGGGCACCGTCTGACTGTGGTTCTCAGCAGACAGCTGGGCAGGTGGAGCTCACTCGGGCGCAGATGTCCCCAGACACAGTCCCTGAGAAGGGGATGGAGCTGGGGCAGTGGTGGGACCCGCACTCACCAGGCTGCTTCCCCAGCTCCTCTGCAGCAGAGTTCCCGTCCTTCTCTGGAGCGGCTGCTGGGAGAAACATGCTGCTGGGCATCATCACTTCAGGTGTTGTCACCTGGAGACAGGGAGGAAAGGACGTGGGGAGAAATAAACCACAGGAAAATGTTTTAAACATCTTCAGTGGCAAAATTAGACACCAGTATTGTAAAGTCAGAGGTGTCACTTTCCATAGCTCACTGAAGACTCGTATTTATTAGACAAAGCTCACATCAGTCAAAAGTGTTTCTACAGTTACATTCTGGACATAATTAGCAGTGCACACTTGAAGAATAATCTTATTATTAATATTTTTCCTTTATGTAGAATTCAGACTTTGATCACTGACAATGTTTTGTCATGGGCTGTGAAACTTCTTGTGCAACCAATTAGGTAGATAAGTTGAAAGGCCCACCTTAAGCTGCTGAAAACATAATAAGGCCCCTAATTAAATCATACCTCGTAAAGTACACTGTAATCTTGAACTAGGGAGCATTGCAGCACTGTTTTCAAAGTGTATCGATGCAGGAAAAGGAGAGGCATGAGAAAGAAAAGTACAAATAAGGAAAGGTGACAAAGGAAAGGATGAATAAGGAAAGACTAAAAAGACAGCAAATTGTCTGCGAAATGAAAAGCTTTTGGTAACCCTTTCCTTCCTCTGACTGATGTGTTCACCTCTCTTCAAGTGTTTGTCTAGAACCTGCACCATCACCAGCACAGTGCTTGAACACCAGTATTTCCAAAGAGCTGGAGAGTTTGCGTGTGTCAACTGGAGATGCTCTTTGAAAGAGCCAAATGCATACGTTCATCTTCTCCTGGAGCACTGTGTTTCTTTGGGTGTATCCGGGCACACACCTCACCAGCGGTTTGCACATGGTTGGCATCAGACACAGGACAACGAATACCCTTCAGAACATCCTGAGCCAGCACCTCACAGCCCTGAAAAGCTGCCCCGCTACCCTCCTCCCCGGAGCCCTGCGGCACCGTCGCCATCCATAAAAGTGGTCACCAGCACTGGTTGGACGCCTGTGGCCAGTGAAGACACCTGCACAGCTCCGGGCAGCTGCGTGCTTCACCCCGCTGACCCAGCGAGCGATTCCCTTTCCTCAGGGCCATGGCACCCAACCGAAGAGAAGCCAACGCTGCCTGGCAGTGCTTGGGGTGCTTCTGCTCCCAGCCTCTGCCTGGGAAAGCGAGGCACAAACACACACTCCGGGGCAGGTATGCTTCCCAGCAAAACGAGTCTCTCCACCCTTCCGTCAGGTACTAAGAGGGCGTTTGAAG